CATTTCCCATGCATGAACGTAGTCCAGCTGTGGTGCACTTAGCAGTCTATTTAGAGAATAGACAACAGGGGTATTCTCTGAATCTTGCAAAGCCCTTGCACGGTGCACGGATTGCACGGTTTGCAAAGCTGTCCCATACGAAAACCGGTTTTTACCGTGCAATCCGTGCAATCTGTGCACCATGCAAGGGCTTTGCAAGACTCAGAGAATACCCCTAACTTGTTTATTTCACAGATGCAAATGTGCAACAAAGAGCCCTCAACCCACCTGGTACTGCTCTGACTGCTTTCTTCACTTTATGCCAGGAAGACGATTTCGCCAGAACACTGATGTACTCAGAAGTGCCCTCTTATTACACGTGGAATATAACTAAAAAAGCCTTTGTAAGACGTAGACGCGGGCAACCAGTCTACGGTCACCCCAGTATTTTCAGAGAAAATGCGATCGGTAGACTTTATACAGTCCATCCTAATCAGGATGAATGTTTTTTCCTCCGTAAGCTGTTGCTAAATGTGCCTGGACCTACATCTTTCCAGCAATTGAAAATTGTCAACGGCATCACACATGCCACTTTCCGCAGTGCGTGTCAAGCTCTGAATTTATTGGAGAACGACCGACAGCGGGACATATGTATTAATGATGTATGCAAACCAAATTCGAACAATATTTGCAATTATATTGACCGCTTGCTTCCCTTCGTCTCCAACAGAGTTATGGGAAAGATATCAATCGTATATGGCTGAGGACATTTTGCATAGAGTACGCCTGGAAAATGCCAACATGACCATGCAATTTGCAGAAGACATTTACAACGAAACGTTAATAAACATTGAAGACAAATGTTTAGCTATTGCAAATAGAGTTCTCGGTCAATTGGGAATGCCAGCACCCATAAGAGCTGCGACTCCTTCATTTGATGTTGATTTGCGCCGTGAACAAAGTTATAACGCCGGTGATCTCCTCTCACCGGGAGGAACTGAGAAAACATTCCTTATCAGATTGATTTTGGCAACGGCTCGATCTAAAAGTGGCATAGCCTTAGCTCTCGCTTCATCTGGAATAGCTGCGACATTGTTACCAGGTGGAAGGACTACTCATTCAGCCCTGAAGTTGCTATTGAACACACAAATCATCGAAACTCTCACTTGCAATATTTCCAGAGCATCCGGAATGGGGAAAATATTACAAAAATGTAAGCTCATTGTTTGGGATGAGTGCTCGATGGCACACAAAAAATAGCTTGAAGCTCTTCATCGATCTTTGCGAGATTTGCGTAGAAACGTTCAACCATTCGGTAATACATTGATATTGCTCGCAGGAGATTTTCGGCAAACATTGCCTGTAATATCTCGATCGACACCAGCGGACGAAATCAATGCTTGCCTGAAATATTCAACGTTGTGGCAACATGTGCATACGTTGCAGTTGACTACGAATATGCATGTCCAGCTACAGAATGATCAATCAGCCGTGGTATTCTAGCAACAATTACTCGACATTGGAAACGGAAAAGTGCCAGTCGATGAGAGAACAAGACGAATTTCATTGCCTGAAAATTTTTGTAACTCAGTAAGATCGAAAGAGTTTCTCCTAATTTTCAAACTAATTACATAAATCACGATTGGCTCAGTGAACGAGCTATCCTTGCCGCAATAAATAAAAACGTCTATCAATTCAGAATTCAGGACAAAGAGAAAGAAGTTCGAAATTTTATATTATCATTTTAATGTTGTGTCTGACAGAATTCCAATATAGGACGCCTACTTCAGAATATGTAAACAAATACACAAATCTTGAATTTAAATTAAATAAATAAAAATGTAAAAAAAATAAAAAATAACAAAAAGTTTTTTATGTATATTTTAAGGTCAAAAGTAGTTAGTAGCAAGTTAGTTGACATATAATGCAATGATATCCAGGTATGACTTTTTTGCGGCCATCGCCCCACAAAATTAGTTTGCCTATTTCGAACAAAATATACAACAGATAATAGTTAGCGCTAGTGTTCGCGTAACCAGACTAAAGTTAGATATTAGCTTAGCTCTCTGCAGGGTACCGAAGTTGTTCAATTAGGTGAACTATAGTTCAATAAGGTGAGCGAACTAAGACTCAGAAGAGCTAGTTCATTGAGCTGAACAAACTAGAAGTGAACTTATCTTTAAAGCAGAAATGGGCAACCTCGGCAGAGCCTAACGGTCAAGGAGTACTCAAAAATTAACCACAATTCATATAAAAAACGTGATCCAATTAACATTGCGATGTTCTAGGGCAGGACCATATACTCCAGCTCTGCATTACGTTAGAGTAGCACAAAACTACTCCAACATATTAACAATGTCATTGTTGATATATTTTTTCGTTTGTACACGCTTCACTTCACAAATGCTTTTTCGTAATTAATAGAAACCAAAAACAATAACAAAAACAAAAATTACATGTTGCTTCCACGGTTTCCGTTTTGGTCCAAATGGACCAAATTTGGTCCATTGGTCCAATTTGTTTTAAAAGGTCCATTTCACAAGTCTTTGGTTAGGTTATGATCACCCTTTCTCTTCATGCAATAGTTACGCGTTTTACATTTTTTTCTATTTAATTGATGAATATTCGACCCCACGTTGAATATCGTCATCGTCAGTAAAATATAATGTCAGTAATGTTACTGATACGCTGACGATCGTCGACGATGACGATGACGATGACGACATTCAGCATAGGGCCGATTGGCAACACCTGCTAAAAGTGTGAACTCGCCTTGCCACTGATCTTCAAATATGCCATGGCTAATCATCTGCCAAAGCACGCTTCAAAAATTATCGCGGTTTCTTACTAATTTCAATTACTCGGTGACCAATATTAAAATGGCTAGCAAAAATATGGAAAGGTAGCAAAACTTTAATCATAGCATTTAGCACATGAAAATAATATTTGATTTCAATCGAAAAGATATTATGTAATCATCTTGAAATTATTACGCCACATAAAGTTCTCTGTGATACTGATGTATCAATTTTGCCGCTACTCGACCAATTTCCTGCATTGGTAAATGATGTAGACATAATTGAATTTCAATTTCGCAAAATGAGGCTGAGTGAAGGTAACTTCAAAAACTGTACCAATATAGAACGTTTTTGATTAAAAAAGGATTGGGTGAAGCGGCCTTTAGAGAATTGTGTGAATTAGTTCATAAAATTTTTAGTCTGCCTCACAGTTCCACAGCAGCTGAGCGCAAATTTTTTGATATAGCATTAATAAAAACGAAATTAAAAAACAAATTATAATTTAAGACTTTAAACAATATAATGTTAATAATATACAATTGTAATGCACTTTGGATGCAATATAAAAAAAAATCGTTATAAAAACTGATTTAGCATATTTTCTTGATAAAAAGGAATAAACGCCACTCAATTTCCCGATGTAATAAAAATTGGTCCATTTTTTACCATTTGGTCCATTTTTTGGTCGGAAAACTAAATTGGAAATGGCAATCGTGGTTGCCTGTGACGGCATTCGAACCCGAACATGCTGGAAGCTAACAAATAACAGCAAGCATCTCTACACCACGATTGAGAGAATACAAAGGTTGCGCCGATCTCGGACCGCTATTCCTCTCTTAACGAATTTGACAGAATCGTCGTTTGCATGACGTGACACTGGTGCATCTTGTTTACATTTTCCTTGCAACATTTTTTCTTCTTCTTCCATTCTTGCTCACGTTTTGGCATTTCTCTCTCGCAATTGCACCAGTGTGACGTCACACAAAAGTTATTCTCAAAAATCCTCTCTGATCGGCGCAATCTTGTATTCTATCATTCTTGTCTCTACACGTTTGGCTGCATCTAGCCATGCAAATGTGCTTTCAAATACTCAATTTCAAACAAATTTCGTTAAAACACGAGCAATGATCGGGTAACAATAAGCTGCTGCAGACACACGTGTTGGTCCGCTACATCATGACAGAGGAGCACTTTTGTGAGTGCTCCAATATACCACAAATAGACTACGTGACAGTGATGCCAGATTGTGGGTAATTTCCCTATTTGAGGGATATTTTGCAACAAAAATTATTAAAAGGGAGAAAAAAGGGATTCTTATTTATGTTACACAATTATCGATCCATAATTGATCAAAATTCAAGAATAGTCGACACCCTTACGAAGTTAATCATTCTGAAGTTTTAATGTGGAGTAAAGTTATGTATAAGTATTAAAAATTTTCTCACTTTAACCAATGCAAGCGTTGAGTAAGAAAGAATCTTTCCATTTATAACTGAATTTTAATATAAAAAGTAGAACAAATTTTCTGACGAAATGATTAAATAGTACATATGTATATGTATATAAAATAACGGTTGCTTTTGAATAAAAAAAAGGCAAGTGCTTCAAATTTAAAGTCACCAGAAACCATATTCGCTTAGACAATGCAAATAATTTGTAACAGTGGTAGTTTTAAGAATTGCCAGAATTCTTAAGGCCTTTAGTGCGTAATCTACTAAACTTTGCATTTCGAAAGAATATTTTATGTACATATATATTAAGGTCACTAAGTATATGAAGTTACATTTTTACTGCTAAAATATTTGTTTTGAATTCTTTGGGAATTTAGTGGGATACATTTTTAAGATGTGGGTAATTTAGCAGAGAATATTTGGCTTCACTGCTACATGATTCAACGATTTATGGAGGGAAGTCGTGCAGTTGAATGAAGCTTTTCCGATCCCGGGATTTTCGGGATGTCGTTCACTCAATCCCGGGATCCGGGGATTAGTCCTGGGATTTAGGTATTCATTACTTTTAACAACTTAAATCGGAAAGTTGCTTGTATACTGTTTGAGAAGCTCTCCTACCATAAAATAAATAGGTTTGAAGCCTACTTTGTTACTTAAAGTGGCGTTTTTATTTTTTCTCTCTGACGTCAGGATTTATTTTAAAGGACTTTGTAATTTCAAAGTTTTCCTTCCAAAAATTATTTAAAAAATTAAAATTTCTTTAGAATTTAAAAAACTTAAAATTTTTTGGATTCATAAGGACAAATGTGTAATTTTTTAAGCTGATAAATTTAAAAGGACAAAATTCGAAGATTTTATCGAGTTTATATAAGTCCTTAACATATATTTTTTTTAAAAACAAATATTGCCAAATTTCAAGGATAAAATTTTAAAAGGGCATTTTCAATACTTACCCTTCTGCGCGAAAAACTTGAATCTCTTTAAATTCTACGGGATTTGCTCTTTAATTCGATACCCATACTTCTTCTCTAAGCACATTTCTCTGAATTTTTTAAATCATTTTTGAATTACTGACGTCAGATTGAAAAACAAAAAACGCAATTTTATTTACTACATTTGGCCCATGGTTTCGCGAATATATTGATATCTGTGTTTAAAATTTACTATCGCGCGGTGTTACATGTAAATAAGCTAGACATTTATAAAAAAAAAAAAAATTATAAAATAAAACAATAAATATAGCCAATACTGGTCAAGAAAAGGAGTTTCTATTATTTCCATCAGTGCAAATTACAAATCCCGAAAATCCCGGAATTATTTGCCAAGAATTCCGAGATTTTTATGAGCTTACAGGCTAACCTAATATTCGCGGCTTGCGTTTTGGTACGCATGCCGTCGAATTTGTTTTTTTGCGTCACCCGAAATTGACTTGCATGCGTTTGCATTTGATTTCATTGAGCGAAACGTCAAATCAAAATGTCACGCAGAACAAAAATTGGAAATTGAGTTAGCTTCATACGCACGCCGTTCAATTTCGGTTGATCTCATACAAGTTGCATGTGCATGAGAAATTTTTGACAATAAATTGGCGGCGTGCGTGAATATTAGGTTAGCTTGTTAAAAAGGCCGGGATCCCGGGACTAACATTCCTAGTATGTATACGCGAATACGACGCGCAGTCGCCAGCCGGGCAGACGTTGCCCAGCTGTGCTTTAAAGTTTAACTAATAAATCTAACTCTAATATATGTTACACATATGTATATGTACAAACTTACTGCACATGAAAAGTGCTTTGAACTTTTTGCTTTAAGATATTGATAATAGGCAAGTCTAAATCGAAAGCTTCAATCATTGGATGCGAATAACACTAATATTCGAAAAAGCTATTATTATGCGACTACAATGTTACTACATACATATGGATACCAAATATAGTTACATACATATACATATAAACATATTCTATAAAGCTTGAAATAGAAGACAAAAGTTGTTGACTACAATAGTTTCGAACTTTGCACTCAGCTACACCAACCACGCTAACAAACAGTGGCGGTTAAAATAAATAACACCAAACGAGAAATTTTAAAAGAGGTTTGGTTAAAAAGTTTTTGATTGTTAATTTTAATCATCCTTACTAATATTATAAATCCGAAAGTGAGTGTGTTTGTTTGCTACGCTTTCACGCTTTAACTATTCAACCGACCATCTTGAAACTGTGTACAATGCTGTTATTTAGCCCAACTTAAAATATAGGATACATTTAGTCTCGATTAGGCAAGAGGGAACGGAATTTTTCATACTGCATATCGCAGGAAATATTTGGGATAGAGTACTGGAACTTGGTATGAAAATCAATTCCACACTCATGGGGGCTGCCACCGGTTTATGAAATCAAAAAACGTCAAATTCAGACTGTTTAGAAATGTTCAGCTTGAACATATAGAATCGTATGACGTATTTGAAGAGGGTTACCACCTGTCTTAAAACTAAATTAAAATACAGTTATATTATATATAAGTTAAATGAGTTATTAAAATATTTGTAGGTTTAATCGAAAGTCTTGAAAAAGCTTTCTTTCTAAGCTACATATGTAGGTATAGCAGGTTTGTCACATATTTGCAAATTCAAATTCAAGTTTAGTTATAGGAATTAGGTAATTTTTAAGTGAGCGCAATATCAAAAGCAGCAACCCTTATCGCAAAGCTCGAGAACGGCTGAACATATTTTTTTGAAATTTCGACAGCAATCTCGATATAAAAAAGGGGCGTAAAACCTCCCATACGAACCGAATTTTTCATACTCCATATCTCTGGAAATGTTCATGGTAGAGTTCTGGAACTTGGTATGGAGATATATGAAATCCATCGCATGCTCTTGGAAAAAAATTGGAACTATCGGAAAAGAGGGCGTGGCACCTCCC